CATGTCTAAATCATTCTCATTTTATTCTTGTGGTGAAAGATTCTTGTGGTGAGATTCAGCTCCAATTACCTACATTATAGGTTATGTAGGTATGTAGGTGTCTAAGCTCACACTATAGTTATTAGAGATCTTGTCAGTGGAAAGAACTGTTCTAACTATTCATCTGACCAAGTTTAATTTCTACTTTTCAATGTAATTAATTGACTCAATTTCTACTACTTCTTCATTGGAGCTATTGGAAGCTCAGGCACACAGCTTACAGGAAAACACCTCCACTGAAGAAAAGTAAGTTTGAATCCAATTCTTAATGATATCACAGAAAAGAAAGCTGGTGAAATGAACCCCTGGTTAGTGGCATAAATGTGATCTACTGTCTCGATATGATGCAAATTTTTATCCATAAATTGATGGAATCAAGTTGAATCAGAGCAATAAATAGGTTTTGGAGTGTTGTATTGTTAAGTCTTCATAACTAAATGTCCACTGGATTTTTTTTCTTTGATTATCTCCAAGAGTAAAAATTAATTCCAAACAGCAGCATAAGAGAGCAGTGGGTTTGTAAGATGGTGACTGCACTATTATGAATTCCTTATTGCAACCTTTATGGTAACTCTTTTTGTTTGTTTGTTTTTGCTTCTCATTGGGAAAATTCTCAAAGAAAAGGTTTACTTTTCCATTAAAATGATAATTATGCTGTTTAAAGGATTGGTGGCAAATGAATGCCATAATATATCAATGAAAATAAAAGAGAGCCTGAAAACAGTTTTATTTCAGATAACAACAAATAGTGCAGAGCCAAGTTGAAGCAACAGGACCATACAAGAGTTACCTCTACTGGAAAACCAGCTTTTTAGTGAATAAGGCACACCATTTCCAAAGCTGAAGGAAATTCTCCCCATCTAGAGGCTAATGCAAAGAATTGCTCACCTACTTCTGGTTTAAATTCTGGCTGTATGTTTGGTTAGTACCAAATTAACCCCCAGATCTTGGTGCAGCCAAACTCACAGTCCAAATCCAATCATAAGAGTTGCATGCCAATACTTTTCACTGACCTGATTGTCAAAGCTACAGTTGCAACTTCTGGTTAATGCAAGTCATCTTTCTTCTTCAACCACTACAGCTGTATGTTACTCTTCACTCTCTTCTTTGCAACTAGCCTTTTTATTTCTCTCCCTTCATACTGAAATATTATGAGCAGTGGGACTTTACTCCACTCCTCTTGTTTGAAGACTTCAGCTTTGTAGAATTCGTGGTCCAGATGTTTTGCACGTCCACAATGGCTCCTCAGTTGTGCTGCTCATTTATGGGCTTATAGTTAAATAAGATTGAGTCTAACTGTGAAAGTTTACCAAGCAGAGACACTCATTTCCTGCCGTCAATATCTATTAAAACACTTAGAAGCAGGGCAAAATCTTGTATTTTCGAAAGAGCATTCATTTAGCTTCTCCTAACCTTTCTAAGCAGGTACCACCTTCAAGAGGTGATTTGGTATTTCATCATCTTGCTGCCAATGCTGTGGAGAGCCTTTAATGTTAAATGACTTAAATGTGCTCTGTACCTTAGATATGTTTTTTTATGCACTGTAAAAATCATCCCTTCTGTTCATTTGGCATTGGTATTCTGTGAATGCATATCAGTGGCAGCTATACAGCTATTTTACTGTAAGCACAGCACGAGGAATACCATGAGAGTGGAAGTCAAAGGTTGAGCACCGGATTGTGCAGTGAACACTGTTTTTGAAATAGAAGGAACAGGGCCTTGGAGGCAAGATATAGACAGGACTACATCTTTGCTAATCAACTCTAGGAAAAAATACTTAGCTTAGTGGCATAAAAATCTTGTACCATCTCCAATGTCTGTTTTGCATTGAGCTAGTGAAATGACTATGGCATACCAAAGAAAGATACCGCCTACTGAGAAGTACATACTCTTTCCCTTTTTTGAAAAATCTTTCTATGCATTACATCTTGAAGTCAGCTTTATCATCAAATCCCTGGTTTTATTACTTAAAATCAATGACTTATAGTATGAATCAAGTCTGGATTGCATGAATATAATTCATTGCTAACTGCTTCTGTAGACACGCTAACTATGTTGCCCTAACAAGGGGATGAAAATGTGTGTCACTTTTAGGTACTCCATTTTAATTTCAGATTCCTGCTCTTTGCTTAGAAAGTCATATGTGTGAAAACAAAAATGAATAGTAACAAATCAGAGCAATCCAGTAAATAAATGGAATGGAGGAAAATTGGATTCCACCTCTTCAAGCTTACTTAATTGAAAATCAGTCAAAGAAACTGAGAAATCTTCTTAACAATAAAAGGAAATGATGATTTTTCTACTGCCTTTGGAGTCCATAAGAGAGTAGAAGAAATCTTATGGCAGAGACTGAACACTAGAGTTGTTTCAGTCACAGCAAAGGTTTCATTCCATTATAACTGAAGTAATTGCATGTATTGAAGTCTACCAGCAAAATGTTGCACACTTTATCTTTATATGGGAAACTTTACATTGCCTGCCTATGCAGTGTCAGCTTATATCACTCTTTGTGAAGTGTAATGATGGAATTGGGGCATGTGGATCATGATTTGTGGGTTCAATATACCATAAACTCTTCTGGTTTCAGCTAGCAAAGTAGGTCTGATTTTATTTACCAATTCACACAGGACACGTGCTCGGGTGACAAACTACCTTGTTTTCACTTAGTGGACATCGATTTGTAAGAAAATAAACACATCCACAATTTATATCATCAGCTTAACACAAAGTATTACATGTAGTGTTGTTTTATGCTGGGACAAGAGCCTAATTAATTTTTGTTAACTTATCTGCATTGCTTTCAGAATAGCATTTTTAATAGTAATTTCTGCTGCAAGTTACAATAGGTACATGAATTTTTCAGATGCAAATCCCAATTTTCTGGTGTAGTTTGTTCTGGTTGGTTTTGGGTTTTTTTTAATCCCAGTGTCTAAGTAGATATTTTTTTACTGCTATAGGAAGAAGAGAATTTTTTTCCTCTTTTGTTCTTTTTCTTGGATCTTAGAGTTTTGCATCAGGATACTTTCATTAATAAAATGACATAGAATGATGTTTTGAAACGCCTTCCTGCTGTGGTAGGATGTGCCACAGGATGTGCACAGTGACAACAGTTTGTGCTATTTAAGTATTAGATGTTTTCTTGTGTTGATTCCGATTTGCATGGTGGTTGCATCCAGTCTCTTTGCTTTCAGGGAGCAGTCACTGCCTAGCTAGATACTCCATTTATTCATAATCTGGTTTTGGTGTGTTTTTACGGGTTTCTAGGGGGCAACAACATTCTTCTGTCTCTCATGCTCTGGAAGGAAAAATGCTCAGGTTGTTTCTAATTTCTACTGTAGATTATGATGAAGTTTGGTATGCTAAACCTTGAGACCCCACATACTGGAATTGTTAGGTAATGCATTGTGTTCAGCAACTTAGATTTCAGAAAGCAATTATCTCTAGTGCGTTTATCACATTTTAGGTTGTTTTTTTCCTATGTTCACTTGCAAAACTAAGCATGTTCTCAGTCCTCGGGAAATTTATCTCACTTAAACAGTTATAAATTATTAAAGCAAAACACACTTTCCTCCTGTCTTTCAGTAGGAGCAGTTCCTACTGCAGTTCCAAGAGTTAACTGGTAAATACTTTCGCAATATTTTTTAGAATCAGTTACCGTATTACAAGTTCAGGATTTCTGTAGCCTAAACCATTGACCTAGAATCTTGTGTCTGTTGACTGTTGCAGTCAGAAAACAATTTTTTTTTTTAAAGATGAAGTAATTTAAAAACAATACTAAAAGTTTTTTCCAGGCGCTGCTCATGAATACATTCAATTCCTTAAAATGCCAAGAAAGCTCATGTATACACGCATGTTAGGGTAGATTGGTCAGCCACAAAGTTGTGCATTTCCAAGATAGTGTAGCTACTGCCATCCCACTTGTCAGATAATGGGAGGAAGGACAGTCTGAGGATTTCACACACAAATCTGGTGAGCTAATTGAAAACTGGTGGAATGCTTCTAGCAACAGGGCTTGTTTTCCAAATGTTCTCACGTCACTGCCTTGTGTGACAGAACACTATCTAAGAAGGTGGGAGTTTTGGCCATATATGTCTGAGAATTAGCCTTATACTTTGGTAATGCAACAGCAATGTCAGCTGGTATTGTGACTGTATTTTATGAGAGTCAACTGCTCTTCTGGCTATATATTTACAAGTGAATCTCTGAGTGTAACTCCTCAAAGTTGCTAAATTAGTCTCTGTTAAGAACATGAAATTTCCAAAAAGCAAAGCACTTCAAAGATGAAATTCTGCATTCTAGTCCCAATGCACGTTGGGGAGGAGTCATTCTGTTGCTCCATCACTGATACACCTTCCTGCTCTCTCTTAAGATGGGAGTTGACCAGTGAAGCCCTCATTTATGCTTTACGGTGTCAGCAGGAATACTTCTAGCTCTCTTCCTTTTATAAAAAAAAGATAGATTTTAAAGAAAAATGAAAGAGTAAACACTAAACCAGGCAAAATTAGGTCTGTTATTTGTTATGATCAAGAAAGAAAGTCTTCTTTTTAAAAAGGTACAATCTAAAAAGCATTCTGCACATTTCTAATTATTGTTTCTATATACAAGGGCAGAACAAATGTTTATACTTAAGATATGAGTTTCTTAATCAGAGGTTCATTTAAAAGGTATTGTAAAATTCCTATTTAATTGTGATATGTCTATCTTAAACAATAAAATAATTTAGTTTCCCATAGTGTTCAAAGCTTTCATCTTTAGGTCTTATTTTACATTTTTACAAGACTATGGAGAGGAAAACCTTCATAATGTAATTCTAAGTGTTTTATTTTTGCTTTTCTATATATATGATTAAAATTTGATGTTGGTGATAATGTGATATTTGATGCCAGCTTGGCTTTTGATTTTTTGTGCTTTCTAATATTAAATTAGTGTTAAAGACTATCTTTTCACTGTTTTAATTTCAGATTTGGATTCTCTAACAGGGCATGCATTTCCAGGTAAAGTGGACAGTTAGATTAGATTATGTTATTTGTTTGTTCTATACTGAGTTTATTGAGTTGGGGGGGGTGACAAATTATTTTGGTGTGCTTCTGACAGCATTTTTTTTAAATGTCAAAATTGTACTATTAAAGTTTTTTAGATTTCAGATAAATGAAGAATGAGTAGCTATTACATGCATCAGTTTAAAGAATAGAATTGAAAATTTGCTTAAAATGTTAACTACAGTATATTTAATGTTAAACAAATCAAGGGGGAGAAGAAGCAGTATTCCAAACGAACAAGTCGTAATGAAAGGATTTTAAGTTACTAAAACTTGCATGTGATTCTGTAACGAAGGAAAAAAAACCCACCTGTTGGTGTTTAAGGAAAGCAAAGATTCAATAAATATAAGAGTGAGTTTCCAGTTTTATTACTAGAAATGCGTAGGAAACAGGTTTTAATAGTAAGAACATAATTTTCAATAGAAAATCCAGAACAGATGAGAACATAATTATGCTAATTCTCTGGATTCTGCTATACAAATACATTTTTTTATGCTGTGTGGAACTTAATTTTAAAAGCAGTCCACTCAAATAAAAGTTTTAGAATTTTACAACTATAATTACTTTACAATCCAAACATTTTGAGTTTGGAATTTTTTAGCAGAAATATAAGAGCAGAGAATTTGATGCTAAGTGATCATGTTGACTTCTGTGTTACTTGGGTAGAGATTTTGGCACAGAAGGAATATAAATGAGCACTGTGAAGTAAGGTAATTCTCTGCTGCAAATACCTTTCTATACTCAAAAGTTTCTTCAATAATACTTCAGTTGAACAGGTTGTGAAAATTGAGGCATAATTTTTGTATCCCAAATTGATTTAGTCCAAATTTGTGATGATATTTATCATTAGAACAATATTACTATTTATTATGTCATTGGCTTCTAATGTGTCTATTGCGTAATATAATATTCCTCCTTCAGTTTTTGTTTAAAGAGTATTCTTTAAAAATTAGGGGACAGTAGATTTATTCAAGGTTTTCCAAGCATTCTTTTACTGTAGGCACTAGGTATGCTGTAAGAATTACAACAGAACAAATGATAATAAAAGGTTAGAAGTTCATTATAACGAAATTTGTGTGCAGTGTGGAGCAGATCTGGGTACAGAGTCTGTCAGAGTTATTTGCACTCAGATACAGCAGCACACCAAGTGATGTCTGTTTGAGAAGTCAGAAGACTGTAAATGCAGATTTTGGCATTTTCATTGCAGATGAGGAGACCCTTATTCTGAGTATTTTGGTTTGGTTTGAGTAAGGCTACCTGTGCTTAATAGGACCATCCTGTAAATATGACCTTTATGACTGATGTCAAATATATGCATGTGTCACCAAAATAGACATTGAGACAAACAGTATCAGTACATCTTTTTTTTTTTCCCCTCTCATTTTTAAAGGTTGAGTCTGCTTTTTGTTTTGCATGAATATTTTGTGTTACTAGATGGTGCTGTCATGGTGTGTCCCATCTTACTTTGAAATATGACAATCTTAACACAATGATAATGACCAGTACTGACAACAGAGTATATATGCTTCAGAATTATGGCAAAGAGAAATCATCCTTATTCTGCATGGAAAATATCCCAAATTGCAGGACAGGTCAATTACATGCCTGCATTACGTTCCAGGTGTAACTGTGCACAAATCCATCCAATGACCTGTTATTTAGCTGAGACAGAAATATCTTTGAATTTAACTAACTGTCAAAGGGATGTAGGAGAACAGCATAGGTAGTCAATAAGCGTAAAAGCCCGAAAACGTGGACTTTCATATTTGGAGACTCACAGTATGAACATGCTGCTGTGCAGCTCATAGAAATCACTAGAACAACCATTTCTCATTTTATGCTTTATTTGACAGAGTCGAGACATACTCTTTTCACACAAGTGTAAAAGCAGCAGAATGTTCTGTCTTGCCTTCAGCTTCACTTACATTTAATAATTGTCATTATAGTAGTCTGCTAAAATAGTGCAGATTGTATAATTACAGATGTAACTAAACTAAATACCAAAAGGGATGCTTATGTATCTACTTAAGTTGGAAAACACAACACTAAATTCGTCCTGATACCTGTGTGCTAACATGATTAGTTACGCTAAAGTATCTTAACTTTCAGTAGACAGAGAAGATCAAGGTGTTACTCATGCATCTTTAATAGCAATTACTTAATTAGATATGTCAAAATGATTCTAAGTGTGTTAACAGGTGATTTGTTTCACTGAGCAAACACAAAACAAACTCATTTGAGATTTCTATTTATCTCACCTTGGGAAAAGCACAGCCTTTGACCTAATCTAGCAAGATGCATTAATGATACCTCTAAGGGTATGGTGATCCAATAGTTTTTCATTTGACCCTTGGCCAGTGCTCTGTGGCTGCGTCAGTGAAATACTGCATGGGTGCTACTGCCAGGCCCTCAGCAGGGCAGACAAATCAAACCTGGTTCTGCACTGACCTAATCACACAGGTTCTAGGGCAGAGGTGGTTTGCATCCATCTGGATGACTTCAAATTTGTGTGAGCTCCCATTTGGGTATGACTGCTTGGTGAATTTCAGGCTAAGAAAAAGTACTTCCCCTATCACCACTGGCCACTGCATCAGCTGCTCCTGTGTTTTCTGTAAATGTGGACAATCTTTGCTACTACAGAGACAGATCAGAACCTAAACCACACCCAAGTATCTGTCTGGTTTTTATGTGAAAGGAAAAAGAAATTCTTTATAACCCTTGCAGTTGATCAGCTGAAAGTATGAGATTTGATTATAGTCATTGTCTTAATGCAGAGCTGCAAGTGTTATGGGCATGTTGAGAACTTCCAGAAGCTGGATTAAAGCATCTCTTTTACAATGATATGTAATCTCGTCCTAAAGCTCCAAGCAATGGCGAGTCCACCAGCTCCCCTGGTAAGCCATTCCAATATTTAATTACCCTTAGTGCTAGGAAATTGCAATGTTATGGAAAGATTGAATTTGTCTAATTTCAGCTGCCAGTCTTCCTTTTGCTATGCCTTTGTCAGCAAGACTGAAAATTCTCCCTTTTACATCTGTTTTCTGAACAAGTGTCTATGAAAAACTCTTTGCAATGGCCTGTCAGAAGGCCTCTGCGCACAGAAACTGGTGGCCGTATTCTGGCTCTGCCACTTGGCCTGATGAACTTATTGCCTTGATCTGCAAACCTGGCCTCTTCCACAGACTGTCACTTTTATCATTCCTATGACTACTAAAAATTTATATACAGTAGTCAAGGTACCTTTCAACTTTTGTTCTGGTAAATTTGATATGTTTTACTCTTTAAGGCTCACACTGTAAGACTGGTTTTCTAACAGCTGTCCTAGGAACTCTTCCTTTTTTTCAAAAGCTATGAGAATATATTCATGTAGAATTTCATGCTGTATATAGAAGTAAAGTACTTTCTTATTTGTACATAGCACCACCTTTTTCATTCTCCCTTTTTAAGGATTTAGCTCCAGTTCAAGTTACAGTGTTTGTCTGTGTCAAACAAACAAAATGGTGATCCCAAAATATAACTCACAGAATAGGAATGAATGTTTTTTCCCCAGTTTGATGTGGCTAACACGAGGTTTGAGGTGGAAGGGAATGCTCTTATAGCAGCACATGAAATCTATCTGTTTTCAATCTGGTTGTACCAGAGTGGGCACTGAGTTTTGGGTGATCATTATTCCAAAAAAGAAGGAGGATTAGCCAGGATGTGTTTTTAAGGAGCAGGATTAAAAAAAGATAGAGACTTCAAAGCCCATTCAAATGCATCCCTCAAACTACAGGCCTATACCTAATCTCTTTTATGAACTCACTTAGAAGATCAGGAATGTACCTTTAGCACAGAGGAGGTAGTTAACAGCAGTTGACTGCTTTGATTTCCAGTGGCTGTGAAGCACACTTGTGAATTCCTGTTCTGAATCACATCCATATTAATTAGGTGCCACCTGAGTTAGGAGTCTACAGTAGGTAATCCAAATGCACCTTCTGCCTCTATGTTGAATTTTCTTTTAGTTCTGCTTTAGAGTGCAGTGTTTGTTCTGTACTACAAACACAAGGTACCCAAACTCTTTAGTAAGATCCACAGACTTTGTTTTTCATTTTGTTAATGATGAATGCTGTTTTGTTGCAATTCATCTAAAGAGGCTTGAGGTTTTATGAAATACCTCGGGCACAAAACTGTGGCTGTTTATTTATTTAAACAGTTCTTCATTGTGGGCAATGTAATGCTAGATTTCAACTTCAAAATGTTAGTTTTTTTTTTTTATTTCTGAAAGTCATTTAGTAGTCTAGGGAAAAGTGTTGTCTTCAGCACTGTCAGTAAACCTAAGATAGAGGTAAGTGGAATGAGCATTCTCAGGTCTTTGTATAATAGTTCAAGCTGTGGTAGGAATTTGGCATGTGCATTCCTGTGGGAAGTGTTTCTCTAGAAAGAGGGCCTCAAATGCTAATCAAATGTGAACACAAAATATCCATTCTAATTCCTAGGTGTGTCTGATAAGTATGCCATAAGGTGGTAGGTTAGTGACCTGCTCATTTTCCAGAAGAAATAACACTTTGTATAATGAACATAATTTCATGGGTTAGTTAATGGCCTACTGAACTGGGCACTTTCTTTTTCACAGATCTACTGGGTCAAAAACTTAAATGGACATTTCATTCACGACGCTAGTACTGGGGTGTTGTAACTGAAACAGAAGTTTATCTGCAAGTGTCTTCTCAGTCATATTATTTGCACTTACAGTCGTATTGAGTCAGAAGTACAGAAAGTCTTATCCTTATCCTTTTTCTCTGCCTTTGTGCAATGCATGTGTAAGGCTGGTAGAATATTAATGAAAAATGGATGGATTAGAACAAATAACACTGACTGGAATTTAGTACAAGAGTATCAACAATGGAATATCAACGTACAATGTATTTGATTAGAGCCGATAGATTTTTAAAGAACAAATTTGGAGAAAATATAAC